CACAATTCCAGCACTCGATCGACTTCGAGGTTTGGGAATTACGATGATTTCTGGACTTGGATCTTCTTCCTTTTGATTTGTTGTGTCTGCTTTCTTTGGTTGAACTTCTTCCTCTTGACTCTGTATGCAATACAGAAGAGGTCGATGGTTCACCCGACTCTCTCCGCCGGATCTCTTCACTGAGAACCAAATTTTGAACATCATCAAATCTCAACTTATTGTTTCCCGATGAGCTACTCACAGCTGTGACCGTAGCATTCCAACTTTCTGGTAGGGAAGACAAAAGTATTAAAGCCCGTACTTCATCATCGAACTCGATCTCAACTGAACTCAACTGGGTTGTGACGGTGTTGAGCTCATTGAGATGATGTGCCACCGAAGCACCTTCGGTCATCCGAAGGTTGAACAATCGCCTCATCAAATGAACTTTATTTGAGGCCGATGGTTTCTCGTACATGTTGGAAAGAGCCTTCATGAGGCCTGCTGTCGTCTTTTCTTTTGCAATGTTAAAAGCAACATTACGGGATAACGTCAGCCGGATGGCTCCAAGAGCTTGTCTGTCAAGGAGACTCCATTCTTCCTCCTTCATGTCCTCTGGCTTCTTTCCTGTGAGTGGTTGATACATATTCTTCTGGTACAGATAATCCTCGATCTGCATCTTCCAAAAGCCAAAGTCCGCACCATCGAACTTTTCGATTTTCATTTTTCCTTCGTCTGCAGCCATCACTTCGACTCTGATCTGACTTCTCTGCCGGATCGTTTCTGTAATTTTTGTGAACTACCGTGTTTCAAAACACGTCGGTAGATAAATTGTAGCGCCGACAAAATTGGTACTATTCACGTTTTTCAACGGAATAGTAACACCACACAAAAAAATACAGAATTAACAATCTGGCTCTGATACCAGTTGTTGGGAAAAATACGCTGAATTTTCCATGAAGTCGGATCTATAAAAGTGAAATAAAAAATAAAAATTGGACACACCAATTTGATAACGGAGTTCGGCCAATAATACCTACGTCTCCGGACTACTGCAGATATTTTATTAGGAAGAAAAAAATACACTCGTGTTTACAAAACACTCTCGAAACCACTCACAATTCACAACTCAAAAATACACACAAATGCTAAATTATTTTTAGCTCACTCTCTTTTTTATCTCTCTTGTGTTTTTCTTTGTTGTGGTGCTTTGCTCATGAGAATTCCCCTCAATTTATAGAGGGGGAATTGCACAATTTTTCCACAAAGGTGTACTCAATTTTTCCACATATTTCAGCAACCCACCGGCTGCAAATTTTCCAACACATGTTTGATGCCTTTTTTTCTTTCATTGTGTGCTTGTCCAAGAAAGTGGCTTGCAGCCATTTATGACTCAACACAATCAATTTTATATTTTTAGTTCATATTTTTGTAATCAATTTTATATTTTTAGTTCATATTTTTGTTAGTTAGAGTTCCATAAATTTTTCTTCAAGTATAGCTCCCGACGGCTTAATTGGCTATAAACGACTTTTCCAGCATATTTTTCAGGTTTCAATTTCTTTTTTTTTTAAAAACAAATTATGATGCCATGAGATAATTTGAACATGTTTTATGAACTATGTGTGTGTGAACATGTTTTGAACTATGTCTTAGCTTCCGCACTGTTCCAACTATGAACATGAACTATGCATGATTGGCTTTCTCTTCCAGTAATAGCAGGGTATCCCTTTTAAGCCGGTTTGTTTATTAACTGTGAAAAGAAAAAGTAAAGAAATGAGTTTTTCCTTTAGTAAGCAACCAAGATAAGACAGAGGTTAAGCAAGCTTAACAACAGTTGAGCCCAGTGCCAAGTTGCTTGAGCCACTTATAAGGAAACCATTTTTCAGAAAAATAAGTAAGTAAGCAAGTAAGTAAGGTAGCATCTCGCGAGAATGATAAAGTGTTTTCGAAAATAAAACGAAAAATTTTACTCTGATCTATCGGCTAACGCTATCTCTTCTGTCTTCTCCGCCTTTAGACCCTCTCTCTTCTCTTACTGTAATGTAATTATTACAAAGCTTCTTCCCTTGCTTTCAGCAGAAAAAATAGGAAGAAGATGCCTGGCCTGGCAGGGCGAGAAAGATCATTTTTTTTTAGAAGTGATTAATACAAAACGCGAAAGAAGATAAAAGAAATCCTTCGAAAATTTATCAGGCATGAAAGCAATCACATCAGGCGCTTTTAAGCCCACTCTAACGGAAAGAGCTCTTGTCCGCCGTCAGAGGCTCTTCCATTGCTTGATAGAAGGGTGAGTTTGAACTCGTTCTTCTAATCAAATAATGTCGCAAGTGTCATTTATGAAGCTGCTTTGAAAGTTTTGCGGATGTGTCTCTTTGATTGAGTTTGTACCCACTTGGTCCCCTATGCGGATCCAAGGGGGGTGTTCAGTTTTTCTGGTTCCAGTGGTGCCATTAGCATTTTGATCTGTAGATGAATAGTGAATTAAAGTTGATGTGATGTATAAGTAAGAATGATTGATTTATATTATATATTTACATTTATATATATATAAAAAAAAAAAAAAAAAAAAAAAAAAGTCAAAGATAAANAAAAAGATGAGTTGAATTTTGAGTTAGGTGATTGAACATGAAATGACTCAAATGATTATAATCAATTGAGTTGGATGATATCCAATTTATCCATTAATGTCTCAGTGCCTCAGTGGTGTAAGTGTGAAATTTTGGAGTGGGAAATGACATGGAAATTGTGAGGAACTTGGGAATACATGATACACATGTAGATAGTTTTGTGATGACAATGAGTCTTCTTTTTATTCCTTACCGGAAACTTTCTTGGCTCCTCCCATCAAATAATTGACCACCTAGACTTTGATCATTCATTTTCAAAAAATTGTAATAGAATTGAATGACTTTGGTAAGTTGGGTTTACTAAGGCTAATTGAATGACTGGTTAGTGTTTGATGCACTAGACAAACAAATTGTCCTCATAATTGTTTTTGATATAATACATGTTTAGAGTAATTTTATTAAAAAGAAAAGAGAAAGACTTTGACAATTATATATATTGAATAAACTTGATGATCTTTAAAAAAATAAATAAGACGAGCAAGTATCACCAATATCCATAATTTTCTAACAGTAGATTAATTAAGTATTTTTTAATTTTTTATTATTCTTCCTCTTTTCCTTACATGGGTTTCTTGAATCTTGATAGATACATGACATATAAACCAGAAATTGTTTATGACAAGAATTTAGCATAGACATGGGAAAAGCTGATTTCCAGTTAAGGGAACCATTGTTTGGCCACCTTAATTGGCATTAATTGAAGCAATGGAAGTCTTTCCAAACCGTTCAAAAATCAAAACAATGATCCCGTAGCATTTGAATGAACAAGAAAACATTGAATGTCCCACCACTGATATTAATTCCATTGAATGCATGACAACCACAAAAAAATTGATCTTAGTAAGAATAATTGCAAAAATGAATATTTGATAATAGCTCTAAACAGTTTTGCTATTATTGTGTGAAGATGGCAAGTAAAAAATACTATATTTTTAATTATTTAAAAAATATAATTAATATTTTTTCAAAAATATTTGATAAAGTTAGTTGATCACTCAATTATAATTATAATTAATGATTCTTTTCCCTTTTTTATTTAATTATGGAAATTGATTGTTGCTTTATTCATTAGTTCAGTGTAATAATATATTTTAATGGAATATTTTCGTTGGAATTTTCATTGAATACCATTGAAAATTACAGGGAAATAATAGGATTGGAATCAATTGAAATGTTGTTCGAATTTCACTGAGATATACTTCTATTGAAAGTTTTCGTTGGAGTTTCATTATTTTTTCGTAGTGTTTTTTCAACTAACTAATTTGTCATAAAAATTACATTCTTCATTATCCTTCATGTCATCATCTTTATAGTGATTCATATATAGGTAGAATAGTTTATAATTATATTGTTTGTTTTTACTAATGATCAAATTTGTAAAATATGATATGCATGTTATGTAACTTATATTTAAAAATATATTACCCATATATATTACTTGTAATATTTTATTTGTATTTGTATATATGAGATGCTTTGTAATATTTTTTTATGTGAATAGGCTTAATTACTAGTGTGAAGTGAAGGATAATTTTCTTAAATGACTTGAGAGTTGAGACATAATACATTGATTTGCAGATATCCATTTTGAATAAATAATATGAAAGGAAAACAATGGATGTAAATTACACGGTTTTGCTATGGAGTCATCGGATGGCTCGACTTATGGAGTCATCCTTAGTTATCAACAAATGATGTATTGACACGTGTCCTGCAATAAATACATATTGGACACGTTTCAATATATAAAATTATGGATGACTCCATAAGAGAACCATCCGATGACTTCATAGAATTACTGGTAAACGACATGGTACATACCTACCTAGTACCGTACTTTCACACTACATGTTGACTAATTTGAAAAGCAATAATCATGATGGTTCATTGAATGCAAGGCTCCCACTAACCTTTGGATCAGAAACTTGCTCACGATTTCGTTGTGGAAATTCTTTCTTATCCTTACATAGCATGTTTCTATTTTATTTAAAATACCAAGTTATTAAAAGAGGAAATTATCTAAAGATTTTGTGGATTTTTCTGTCACAATATCTAAAGATGCTTTTATTTATTTGTTTATTTTGTGTCCATAATAATTGGATTCTATTAAGAAATACCCTTTCTAATATTACATTGGTCTGATAGGAGAAATGAAGGAAACAACACAAAAATACAAAAATCAAGTGTTACTCGTGTTAATCATGTTGGTGAATTACTTAGATAGAGAGGTGAATGAATACGTTTACACGAGGAAAGTAGATAAAGTTTATCAAATCTCTGTACATGGCATATGCCAAGTTTTTCTAAAACTAAACTTTCCAGTTCCATGAATATCGTACGTCTACAAAACGCTGAATTATCTGTTAACAAAACCATTACTTGTGCAAAACGCTGAATTATCTGTTAACATATACCACCACCATTTCGTTTATCAAATTAAAAAGCCCATGATTCATCTCTCCCATATCACCATTCTCAGAATAACAGTATCTAAATGTACACATAAAAACCATAACTGCAAACCCAGTTATCGATTCGTATAACAACATACCTTCGCCCATACAATCATAACAACAATTCATCCCCAAATGTCGAGCCAGAATTCAAAAACACATAGAAAGTACAAAACAATAACTAAACCGTTGACAAAGTCAACTTAATAAAATCTCTCACCCTACCTCCAAGTCGAGCCACCTAGCCTGATCACCTCCTCCGTACCACCCGCTTGACTTGTGCCCTTATCCTTGCTCATATCCTCCTTTTTCCCGCTCAAATCTCCATATAAATCCTTAAGCTTAGCAAGATTACTAGCAGCAGATGTCCTATCCTTGTCCTTATCCCCATTCCTAGACGGACTCGAACGGCTTTGCTCACTTTCATATATGCTCCGGCTCCGGCTTCGACTCCGGCTTCTACTCCGGCGATAACGGTCCTCACGGTCATAATAGTGCCTATCCCGAGACCTTCTATCATAATCATACCTCCTATCTCTCTCACGATCTCGATCTCGATCTCTGTTCCTTTCTCTCTCTCGATCTCTGTCCCTTTCTCTTTCGTATTCGCGGTCGGGTAAATCTCGACTCTGGCTTCTGTGGCGCCTGACTGGAGACGAGTCGCGGGTGGAGGCGCGGTGTGGGGCCCGCTGCCCGAAGGAGACGGAGAGGGCGGCCTTGACGGAAGGGGGCCGACGAGCTGTCTCTTCGGAGCCGCGGGTGGTCTCGCCTGTGACTCCGCAGTGCTTGGTGGGGAGCTTCATGCTCTCGAGGTTGGAGACTATTGTTCGCATGACGGGCACAGGAATGCGCGGGAAGAGTGTGTCGAAGTAGTACTGCATGCGAATCAAACNGAACAATAATAATATATTAATGATAATAATAATGTGGAAGGGTGGATGACCTGTCCGAGTAGCAAATCGCGCACGTAGACGCCCATTGTAGTCATTCGGCCATTCGAACCAGGGGAAAATTCCTGAAATTGGAATGTCGAAAATCCGTGAACCAAAAAAAAAAACGTCTTTATTAAGTGGGGTGAAAGTTTGATGCTGAGGGGAGAAAGTTATATGAGAAACAAAGAGGATAAAAACTATTAGTCGAGATTCTCTACAAGATTGACTAATTCCTAAGATGGGAAAGAAAAATAAATACCACTGCATCAGCTTGTTAGAAATCTATCAAGCCTCTATCTAACATGATAAATCCGAGTGACAACTTCAAGGGAACAGAATGCAAAGTAAAGAGAACCAGTTCCGATATCAGAAATATAACTAGATTTTTTTTCTAAAACTACGGTTACCACACAAAAGCAGTTCACCTGCACAGGAAATCATGCTGATGCACGAGGGAACTGTTAAAATCCTCCCAATCCTGAGCGTCGAAACAAAAATCATAAAGTTCTCAAATCATAAACAAGAGCTCTCTATCTACACATGATCGACATATCATGCAGTCATTGTCGGAAGAGGATGACAGCATGATAAGTGAAAATAATGGATGTAATCGCTTTATACATAAAATAAGTATACAGACAGGGTAGCAGAAGGTGTCCCATGGATATTATAGACCAAGAGTCATTTCTTTTACACTAATCAGCACAGACAAGCATACTGCATTATATATTTTAGACATGTAATATGTAGAATGAACTAATAAAAGTATATAACAGAACTATACAGGCCATTCAATAAACATAATGTAACACTTTTGAGTACAATGTTAAGCATCTTCCACAGGTTTCAATAACCAAAACCAGGAATCAAGTAGGCCAATCATCTCACTTGATTTCATTCTTACTGTGCATTTGTTCATTCCGCTTCCAAAAAGCCACGGCAAAATTGCTCGTAGAGTGGGTTAATTGCATAGGATTCAAGATCTCTATTCATATAACTAATTCTGAATAAATAGAAAGAAGCAGAATAAAAACCTTTTCCGTACCTCGTCATCTTTCAGGTATGGTTCGTACCAACTCCATAATGTCTTTGGATCTGCAACGTACCTTAAGTAGAGAAACCCAATCTACAATAACCAAGTCAAGGGTTCATTAATACGTAAAGCTTGATGAAGGCACTGGAAAATCCAATAACAGAACAAGAAACAGCATAAAATTGTTCCATCACTTCAACACTAAGAAAGTGTATACAAGTACACAAAAAAAAAGTTTTTAAATGGTCACAATAGAGTATTAGAAGAGGAAGATACCAAGAAGGTCAATAATAGATAATAGAAGGGTCCACAAATCTAGCTAATTAAAGATGCAATTAACACAAAATAAATGACGCAGTTTGCAAATACTTCGATCATTCCAGTTCATGTGTCCTCTCATTCCAGATTAACCTCTCTGAGCCTATAAGGAACTTTCTTAAGTGGATCGAAAGTCCAAGAAAATAATATGATATCCATCAATCAACAAGCCGTTAATAAACCTTACGTCTCTTCTAAAAAGAACAAGCACTCACACATGGCCAAAAAACAAACTGATTCGTATAATTAAAAGTAAGGAAAAATACAGAGCAAATGCGGTCAAGCATAGATTTTGTTTTTCATCTTTTTTCCCCAATAACAGCATGGCTGACCAAACTGATTTGTATCTCGGCAAAATAAATAATTTCAAACATCCTAGGCATCCCAAAAGCTAATTAGGACACATCATCATTACACGGCTTTACTTACTGCTCTTATGTAAGGGGAATCTTGGTGCTTCAACAGGCCATGCATCTGTTTCACCGTGAGCTTCATGGTGAAGAATTTGTACAGAAGGCAGAATGCAGTTGATGGTCCCCGGCAGTTACCAGTCATCCATGGCTCCACATGTGTGACAGTGACATAAATCTCATCAATCACTTCATGGTATGTTTTCAACCTCAAGAGGTCTCGAAAGTAATCAGAAGAAAGTATATTCATGCACAGGACCTTCTCCAGCAATTGATCAATCGACCTCCCGGATGACTTTATCTCAGCCATTTTGTATCATCCAGCACCTGAACCCTATGATATCAAATTGTAAAACATAAATAAATAAAAATAAATAAAATAAACAATTCCTCCTGTCTTAGTTATCTGAGCTCAAACACATAAAGTTCAACCAAAAAAAGCGTAAGCTATTAAAGCAATACACTTATAACTTAACCCTAAAAGCTCAAGGAAATATAAAAAAATCAAATAAGCAAATGAAAGTTACCAGTAAAAAATGAAAACGAGTACTGTACCCGTTCTTGAATGCAAAGGCAAAACAACAAAAGAAAGTAATAGGGAACTCCCAACACCAAGAAGACAAACTCAATTTCTCCTATAACACCCAGTAAAATGCGATAACAATAGCATGTGGTCGACAAATTTCACCAGAAATGTAAATCCAGTATTCGCCAAACTTCAAAAATGTCTTTATGCAGCACAAATTCAAGAACTTTACATCAAAGGCTTCCCCGATTACGACCGTATATAGCCCAAATCAAGAATACAGAAAACTAGAAAGCATTCAAATCAATAGCATAATCGATTGAAGCAAGTTACAAATGATAAACCCGACAATAATTCGAAGAAAACACGACCTTTCTTCCAATTTGCCTAACCTGATCGGATGAATTGAAGAGCTTGAGAGAATTAATCGCGAATTTGTTCTGAACCCTAGCTTTCTATATTGAACTTTATGCGATTGGCTGGGGCCGGTGGGCTGGATTTATTTATTTATTTAAAAATAAAAAAAAAATAAGTGGAGAAAAATAAAAAAAATAAAAAAGAGTGGAAAAAAATTAAAAGGCTAGATTCTTGGAATCCATTTTTTCTTGAAAAATGGATTTTGAGAATCCGTTTTTATTTATTTATTATTTTTTATTTTTATTTTATGTTAAAAAACGGATCTTCCAAATCTGTTTATATTTTTTATTTTATTTTTTATTTTTCTATTTATTTTTTAATTAATAATATAAAAAAATTAAAAATAGATTTAAAAAATCCGTTTTTATTTTTTTTATTTTTTTTATTTTTTAATTAATATATATATAAAAAAAACTTAAAAACGGATTTTTAAAATTCGTTTTTAATTTTTATTTTAATTTTTTATTTTTTAAAAGATAACGGGCGATTACACTATAATTAACCGAGATTGTATTAATTCGACTTCAATTGGACTAATTCGAGTTCGATTACACTATAGTTGACCGAGATTGTACTAATTCGACTTCAATTGGACTAATTCGAATTCGATTACACTATAATTGACCGAGATTGTACTAGTTCGACTTCAATTGGACTAATTCAAGGTCGATTACACTATAATAGACCGAGATTTTACTAATCAACCTCGAATTAGTCCAATTAAAGTCAAATTAGTACAATCTCGGTCAATTATAGTGTAATCGACCTCGAATTAGTCCAATTGAAGTCAAATTAGTAGAATCTCGGTCAATTATAGTGTAATCGAACTCGAATTAGTCCAAGTAGTACAATCTCGGTCAAATATAGTTTAATCGAACTCGAATTAGTCGAATTGAAGTCAAATTAGTCGAATTGAAGTCAAATTAATACAATCTAGTTCAATTATATTGTAATCGACCTCGAATTAGTCGAATTGAAGTCGAATTAGTACAATCTCGGTCAATTATAGTGTAATCGAACTCGAATTACTCCAATTGAAGTCAAATTAGTACAATCTCAGTCAATTATAGTGTAATCGGATTCGAATTAGTCCAATTGAAGTCGAATCAGTACAATCTCGGTCAATTATAGTGTAATCGAACTCGAATTAGTCCAATTAAAGTCGAATTAGTACAATCTCGGACAAATTAGTACAATTTCGGTCAATTATAGTGTAATCGACCTCGAATTAGTCTAATTGAAGTCAAATTAGTACAATATCGGTCAATTATAGTGTAATCGAACTCGAATTACTCCAATTGAAGTCAAATTAGTACAATCTAGTTCAATTATAGTGTAACCGACCTCGAATTAGTTGAATTGAAGTCGAATTAGTACAATCTCGGTCAATTATAGTGTAATCGAACTTGAATTACTCCAATTGAAGTCAAATTAGTACAATCTCGGTCAGTTATAGTGTAATCGACCTTGAATTAGTCGAATTAGTACAATCTCGGTAAATTATAGTGTAATCGAATTCGAATTAGTACAATCTCGGTCAATTATAGTGTAATCGAACTCGAATTAGTCCAATTAAAGTCGAATTAGTACAATCTCGGTCAAATTAGTACTATTTCGGTCAATTATAGTGTAATCGACCTCGAATTAGTCCAATTGAAGTCAAATTAGTACAATCTCGGTCAATTATAGTGTAATCGAACTCGAATTACTCCAATTGAAGTCAAATTAGTACAATCTCGGTCAATTATAGTGTAATCGACCTCGAATTAATCCAATTGAAGTCAAATTAGTACAATCTCGGTCAATTATAGTGTAATCGAACTCAAATTACTCCAATTGAAGTCAAATTAGTACAATCTCGGTCAATTATAGTGTAATCGACCTCGAATTAGTCTAATTGAAGTCAAATTAGTACAATCTCGGTCAATTATAGTGTAATCGAACTCGAATTAGTCTAATTGAAGTCGAATTAATACAATCTCGCCATCTCGGTCAAATTAGTACAATCTCGATCAATTATAGTGTAATCGACCTCGAATTTGTCCAATTGAAGTCGAATTAGTACAAATCTCAGTCAATTATAGTGTAATCGACCTCGAATTAGTCCAATTGAAGTCGAATTAGTACAATCTCAGTCAATTATAGTGTAATTGAACTCGAATTATTCCAATTGAAGTCGAATTAGTGCAATCTCAGTCAATTATAGTGTAATCGACCTCGAATTAGTCCAATTGAAGTCGAATTAGTACAATTTCGGTCAATTATAGTGTAATCGAACTCGAATTAGTCGAATTGAAGTCAAATTAGTACAATCTCGGTCAATTATAGTGTAATCGACCTCGAATTAGTCCAATTGAAGTCGAATTAGTACAATCTCGGTCAATTATAGTGTAATCGACCTCGAATTAGTCCAATTGAAGTCGAATTAGTACAATCTCGGTCAATTATAGTGTAATCGAACTCGAATTAGTCCAATTAAAGTCGAATTAGTACAATCTCGGTCAAATTAGTACAATTTCGGTCAATTATAGTGTAATCGGACTCGAATTATTCTAATTGAAGTCGAATTAGTACAATTTCGGTCAATTATAGTGTAATCGACCTCGAATTAGTCCAATTGAAGTCGAATTAGTACAATCTCGGTCAATTATAGTGTTATCGAATTCGAATTAGTTCAATTGAAGTCGAATTAGTACAATATCGGTCAATTATAGTGTAATCGAACTCGAATTAGTCCAATTAAAGTCGAATTAGTACAATCTCGATTAATTATTGTGTAATCGCCGTTATCTTTTAAAAAACAAAAAATTAAAAACGGATTTGCAAAATCCGTTTTTAAGTTTTTTTTTTAATTTTTTATAAATTAATTAAAAAAATAAAAAATAAATAAAAAATAAAAACGGATTTTTAAAATTCGTTTTTATGTTTTTTTTAATATTATTAATTAAAAAATAAATAAAAAATAAATAAAAAAATAAAAAATAAAAANTAGGGGCACTAATTTTTCGACTGATGGAATTGCAACCCATCTCACCTGGATCCATTTCAGTAAAAAAGGTACGAAAATTATGGAGTTATATACTTTTTTGGAAGCATGTTGAGCTTGGTATTATTTAATTTATTCAAAGTACTCTTTAAAACAAGCTTAGGTACTGAGAGACTAGGTAATGCTAATAAACAAAATAGACACTATCTATATATATATAAAGAGAAGCAACAAAACATTAAATTATATTATCATGCATTAAATTTTATTCTCATGTATTAAATTTTATTCTTCCTCCAAAATTTTAAGCATTCAATTTCATTTTTAAGTTACAAAATAACTTGCTTGAATGCCATAAATTATGAGCATAAACAATCAAGGGAGTTACAAAACTCTATTCAAATTTTAAGTCACACTCACTCATGAAAATGACCGAGTGTATTAGCATAAAGAAAATGGTTGTAACGACTCTTCCATAGCAATTACTTGATCAAAATCAATTTTGAGAATTATTTTTTTAATTCATATGTTTTTTCATAAATTAAATTATGATTTTTTTTATATTATTATCTTTTTAAAGTATTTTTCTCTGTGCAAATGTACATGTTGATTACTAGTATATATATAAACTTAGGTTATTCAATTAATGCAATACTTTATGATTTTTCTACCATTCTTTTATCTATTTATAGTATGGTTTGATTTATATTAGTTACTATATAACGTTAATTTAATTTATAGCGATCACTTAATAATTTGTAAGTTGAATAAAATTTTAATTAACTCTTTTTGGCCAAAAAAATTATCAATTAAAACTTACTGTTTGTCCCATTTTTGTTACGTTTTTCGTGTCTAGTTTCTCGTTCTTTTCCTCCCATTTTGAGTCATTTGTGTGGTTTTAGAGTCGTTTTGTCGTTTATTTCGTGTTTCGCGTCTTTGTGAGTATTTCTGTGTTTTTCGTGTGCTTTTCCGGTTTCCTTCGTTTTTCTTTCATTTTTGGTGTGCAGGTCGGAAGCTTTGGGAGGACAAGTTTTCAGGAAAATATGTGCTGGGATTACATAGTTAGATAGAGGGGTTCGTTAGCTACGCGTAGGAAAAAACGGAACTCAATTCCGAGTTCAAACGAGCCCAAACGAGCCCAAAAAGCAAAGTCCAGCAGGCTGCCCAGAACCTTAGCGCCGCTAAGGCACCTTAACGGCGCTAAGGCACACAGGATAGCGGCGCTACACGGTACTGGCTCGAACGGCTAAGGCACCTTAGCAGCGCTAACCCCCCTTAGCGGCGCTAAGGCCCCCTGCAAGTCCCAGAATGATATAAGAACCCCAAAAACTCGTTTTCTTCTTTCTTCTTTCATTCTCCCCCTCCTGGGGACGAACCTAGGGCTAGAAAAACGCAAAAAAATTCCCTTCGCCTCCCTTTATTTTTCTCCATCGTTTTTCCTCCTCTTTCCATCTTTCTTTTCCATTTCTCTTCTTCTTCTTCTCTACATCTAAGGATTAAGCTTGTATTTCGAATTCAACTTTAGAACTTGGATTGATTGTAAGTACTCATTTCTCTTATTTGATTCATGAATAATGGTTATTTGAGAAGGATGATTATGATTGTTGAATTTGATATTTGTAGCTAAATCTAATTACTAGGGATAGGGGATGATTATTCTTGTTTAACGTACATTTGTCGGGCTCAAGATTGTTCATGCTTATGTGAGTTGAATTGATTAGGAATTGATGAAATTGTGCTTGGTAGTTTGATGTAATCGAAGGGTGACACTTCGATCGTGCAGTTGGTAACAAGTGTATATTGAGTTGTCGAGTTTGGTTTTGTTGATTCCAATGATTAGTTGACTAAATACCTTCTAATTAAATTAGCAACTTTTTGAACCGAAAGGGGCGAAGTCGTAGACCTAGGCTTGCATGAGATAGATTATTTCGTAACTGAGTAATCTATGGGTTGAGATTGAAATACGTGCTTGTCGATGTCCCGTCCCTTGTTACGAAAAGTTATTGGGATTGGGATAATTGGCTTGTGTTGTATGCTCGAGCTTGTTGGTCTATGTTCAATCCTTGTTACGAAGAGTTATTGGAAGCGAACCTCTAGATGTTTAGGCGAGAGTGTCAATCTCGAACCGAATGATTAATTGCCCGGCTTTGCTAGAACTTGAATTAATTATCCCCGATTCCCTAGTTTCTCCATCTTTGTTCCATCCACATTTTTAGGTAGATTATTGCTCTTTATTGTTTTTTAGACAGTAATTATTCAAACCCCTTTTCTGATTAGAGTGTTTAGGATTTTATTTTCTTTTTATATGTTATCATTACCAAAGCTAAATTCCGAACCGCCTTCCTCGAGAGATCGACCCGGGAAACGAATCCTTGATTCGGTACTCGGTAAAATATAACAATTTGAACACAACACTTACATTAGATTTGTCAATAAATCTACATATATAAAGAGGGGTAAAAAACTGGATGTAAAAAATTTCGTTTCACAGTCGTTTTTTGGGAAATTATGGTAAAAACCATTATATTTTATATTAAAGAATCATAATAATATTTTTTAACTATTCTATCACATACTAGTTATCATATTTTTTGGGGAATTATGACAAAAACCGTACAGTTTTTGCTTTGTATCTGAATGTGCTTGTCCACTTCGCGAGGAAAGCCCTTATCAGAGGTATTTCCTTTGTTTTGGGACTTGCTAGAACAACCGACTTTGTGATTGTCCTCTTAGACATTTGATCCGTGAGTGAGAAGCCGAGCACGTGACTGCCCACTTCGCTTTTGTATTGCCGTTCAACAGTCATTGTAACTTCAAATTTGATCTATAAATTTACATTATGGATCGAAAAAAAATGACTTTAATAGCGAAATACATATGAAATGTCATATTGCAAAACGGAACGTGGCATCTCTAATGTACATCCCCTAATGTGCATCTTTACATTGACTCTGAAACTCGGTGATTAGTTTGTAGTTAAGTGAGATTTTCTGTAAAATCACTTAAATAGATAAGCAAACCCAGAAATGTTCATTGAGTGCAGAACTTGATTAAAAGAAAGACAAAGAAAAAGGAAAAAAAAAAAAAAAAAACATAATTGATTGGTTATCAACTTCCAGTTTCTTCATCATTCTCCACACTTTCCAGGCCAGGCCCTTCTCTCTGTGAAGGATGAGGCGGCAAAATCCGCGCGATGGTCTCTACAAGCTCATCTATTTTGTCTTCCATCCGCGACTCACAATCCTCTATGACCTGGACAAAAGCATATGAACACAAAATATTATTCTTTTATGCTTTGCATATAAATAAATTCGTATATTGATATTTGATTGATTCTTAAGAAAACTTAAAGGTAAATTAATAGCCATGCAAATGAGGAGATTAACAAAATGAATACATGAGAGACAGCAAGTTGTCGCTTAATTCAGCTAATTCGTAACAGCCTGCAATGCAAGACATCTTATTCACAATTTTCAAAATAATGACTAAAGCTCATTGTTAATAAACTAAAACTCTTTAGTGTTTACTCATTAACCATTGGACCTTCAAATTTTTCCCTATACTTATTGATACTAGATTTCAGTCAGAATGCACTTCTCTGTATATCTACTTATTGCCATTGAGTTCCCTTTGTTTTGTATGCAAGCAGTTCCACTGCATCATGAAACTTCTCTCAAGTACGAACAAAAAGATAGTTGATCTAATAATGCATAAATCAAGTAAACTATACCAAACAAACTTAAATTTACAATTCCAAGCAACAAAATGTTTCTTTTAATTCTCGTTTTCAAATAATACATGAAAATAAAACCAGGTAAAGCTTGCCAATGTAAATCATTGCCGGCTTAGAAGCGAAGTAAATTAACTGGATGGCAAAGAGGCATTTCATCATTTAGCAAAGCATTTCTGAAAGCCAAATAATAAAGAGAAAAATCTTAATCGGAAGTTTTTAAACATCAAAGAGCTTTCCAAGGATAAAAAGTGCTAGTTGGTCTACTAATTTAACAAGCAGAGATGGATCTAGCAATTTATACATAAATTCGGGAAGAATAACCATAGCATGATTACAAATACAGATCCAATAGACTGATAAAGGATATTAATCACTACAATACGATGGAGAATTACCGGGTAAACTTCAACCGGAGATGCTGGCCTCATGTTGGCAATATTAAGAATCTCGGCCTTGGCAAGATCAAACCTTTTGCAATCATCAAAAAATCCATTAATGATATCCCTTGTTTGGTTGCAGGCGGCACTCTGCTCCAAATAATCAAAAACCTGTGCCGAAAATGGAAAATGAGAATCATTACAAATTTAACCTATTCTAAATACGAAAACTAAACGCAGAATTTTCTGCCCCCAACCTTGTATTCAGATGGTGCAACAGATGCAATAACACGAGATAAATCTGTACCAGCCCCTCTTGACCTCAATACATCAAGCACCTCGAAATTCGTAAGAGCACCAGCCCTAGCTTCAAGTCTGCAATTAATGAAACGAACTATAAAAATCTAAACCGTCTAGACTCTGAAAGCTAGAATCTCAAATTACGAACTATGGATTTACACACATCTTCATTTATGGGATGCGGAGGAATGGATTTTGAAGTAACAATGCCTGTAAGAGAAAAGAAAACAATGTCTGGTTAAGCATGAAAATCGGGAGAAAATCGGGCTCATAAACAATTTTGAGAAACACTGGTCTAGAGCTTTTGTGCATTTCAAAATTGTATTTGATTAAGGGAACAATATATATTTATTAAGCGACATGTGGCTCGATAGAATAAAGACACGTGTGTTTTAAGGTACAGTGTCCAAGGTTAAGTCCAAGGCCCAACCTCACTTTCAAGCCCAACATCTCAGGAATCTTACGTATAGGCCCAAGGTCCCGAGGTGGCCCAATTTGTGGACCATAGTCCACCAAACTAATGGATTGACAATTCCTCTATTTGCAGAGGGAAGACTTAGGTTGTCCGACCTCTAAAAAAGGACGACCTAGGTCAAGGTAATATCAAAACTCTCCTTTTCTACTCATACTCCACAACTGTTACCCTAAATCCTAACTTAAACATCACAGGATCTGACAACTCCAAGGGTCTGTTTTGCAAGCGTCGGAGCAAGTATAAGGAGAACATCGGAGCAACTAAATTTATTAAAAATAATATTTGTTTTAGGCCTTTATAATTTTATAATTATGTCAAAATTTACCATTTTCAATAAATTTAGTTTAAAGCGCATGTATACTTTTAAATAATCATTTTGCTAACTATTTATTATTATTGTATATTCATTGTACATAATTTCACAATAAAAATATAATTTATTTTAATTTATATTAAACAAATATTAATATTCAAGTATCGAGTCATACATGATTATCATACTAATTTTCAATATAAGATAATAAAATAGATATAAATAAGAAAAATAACCAACAAAAAAAATGAACATAATGGAAATTCTAAAAATATTAAAATGATATATAATTTCAATTAGATAAAAAAAAAGGTCAACAATTACTTTCGTTTCAAAACGAATAAAATTAAGTATTTTTTCTCAAGTCCCCTGCTCATACGTATTTTGTGCTCAATCAATTAGGAAAACCAAATGATGGATGATTGCTCATTGGTACATAGGGCACTAAGTGGCTCATTACTCCTTGCAGGAATAATGGTTCTCCACAAAATCTCAATACATAGTTACATACAGTCTGGGTTCTCCACAAAATCTCAACACATACAGTCAAAAAGAGGATAATGATCATCAAACTAGCTACCATTTCACATATGATAATACAATCCAAAACATCAAATGTGGCGTCGTATATAAAACCACAATTTATAATACAATCCAATCATCCAACAACCCAATAATCACAATCAAAAAGACGATAAGATCATCAAACTAGCTACCATTTCACAGTTGAGAATACAATCCAAAACTTCAAATGTGGCCACAATTGATAATACAATCCAAAACCAAAAATGTGGTTGGAAAGCAGAAACCAAACATATCGTCAAGAAGTTGCGCCTGGATCACTAATAACACCAAGAAAGTCATCTTTTATGGTACCGATGCAGAACTGCAAAATTAAACTAAAAATTATAGCAGTGTATTATATAGCTTCCAGAGAACAACTCTTAACAATCAAAATTTGCAAACACATCATGCTTTGTACAACCCAAAATAAAAATAAACTCATTAGAGAAGCATCTTGCTATAGTAGTTTTCTTTTGTAAACCTTCCTGTGCTACGGTTACTTACTCAGGTTCGGACATTACAAAGGAAATCAATTGGATATATCGATCAATCGACCTAGTGAGGGATGAGTAGAGGATTAAATGCAATGTGTTATACAATATGTTGATTGCTGTGATTCGTGACCCCGAAAATACACTTCTCTACAATCTATCTCATTTCTAGTAACAGAGATTCTTTAATGGATTAACATCCTTTAGAAGGATACTTTACCAACAATTTGAGCAACATACATCATATTCACCTTCAAATCAATAAAGATAATTTTACAAGGAGTTGACTACATAATGTGCTCATAATAAACAGATATAGGTGCCAGAGTAATTCCGACAATTCTGATGTTAAAAGGCGCCAAGGTTTCGACATAGCTACACAAAATTAGAGGGAACCAATAATATAATAGAACAAGCTATGGTTAACACAAGAATAAAGTATGACAATCTATCAACACATAGAGGACCTACAATTTCAGTTGCGTCCACTCGCGTTCCAATTATTTTCAGTCTAACTTCACTTTCTTTCTGAATTTTGACCTGCAAACATTTGAAACGCTTATTATAATGGAGACTAGGAGGCTATAATAAAAAAGAAATAGAAAACCAGATGCTGATTGCAGGATGATCGAATAGCCGAAAAAATGTGTCAACTGAAATGTCTTAAAATTCNAAAGGCAAAGTGAGAAGGTGGTACATACAGATCCATCTGATGTTGTGTAGTTAGGCATATCTCCAGATTGGAACTCCATATCATCAGGTATCAACTAGAGATACAGAAAATAAGTTTCAACTCAGAGGACCAAAGCATGCAACAAAAAAATAACAGCTCAAAATTAAACCACTAACATGATTAGATACGAAAATTTGGACAGGTCCCGCTTCAGCAAAAAATCCCATCTGCAAAAATTCAAAGGCAATGTGTAAATCATAAGAGACACTCAAATAAAAGCAAATATGAAAAAGAAGTAAAAATAAAATATATGACCTTGTTAACCATTGTAACAACTGCTTCCAGAATCTCCCCTTTAAACGGTCGAAATACGACACACTGATACTTAACTGGAAAGGTAACAAATCCTGTCCCATCACGAATTAGCCCTTTCCCAACACTGTCAATACCAGTTATGGCCACAATGAACCCATGACGACCACTGTAAACCCAACCAACAAAAAAATAATAAGCGCTACTATAGAAATTAGCAAAAAAAGAAAAAAAAAAGTGGTGAAATGCACATGTTAATTAATGACCTGCAAGTTCCCTCAACATCTTTCACGAGTTTCGCCACCAGCTTGTCCCGCAGATCACGGCCGAAGTGACGGGGGTGAAGCTGCATATTCCGCTCTAGTACTATGTGAAAAAACATACTTTTCTCCCCTTTTACGGAGATAAACTATTCCTCAATAATCTCTGAAATCTCAAATAAAGAAGCTCTCCGTCGACGTGGGGCGCCGCCGAGATACGTCTGGAAGCTATCCGTCGATCGACTGAGAATGGGGCTGCCGGCGATTGAGAGTAGCGCAGAATATTAGTGTCCGGCGGCAGCGGACGGCGAGGGCGGAGGACGGAGGGCGGCAGACGGGCGCCGTACGATTTTAGGATTTGGAGTTTGGACGATTTGAGATTTTGGGCGGCGAGGCAGTATGAGAAACGAGAGTGAATAACGAGGGTTTTTCTTTTAGTTTTTTTTAATAATTAACCGGAACCGTCTTAATTGAATTAGGCCTCGTTAGGACATGATTATTCCTCCAATCCACCTAAAGGCCCGCGATGCACAATGTTTTATTTACTTATTTAACAATTCGGTCTTAATTAAGTTGGTATTGGGCCGTGGGGCTCTGCTGTACTGCCTGCTTCATATCTTCTTTCGACATCTCGCCATTCATAAAAATACTCTATTATTTTGAAATTAAATCATAAATACATCATAGTATTTGAATTCATCTGATAAATAAATAAGTCAAAAAATATATAAGTGCGATAAAGTTAAGCATATAAAAATACACTAATAAATATATAAAATACACACTTTTTCTTATCAATCACATACAGTGTTCATCAAACTAAATGTTCATTAATAATCCAGAACTGAAGAAAAAAAATACATCTTTGACCACATGACAACAATAAAAATGATAAACATGACCCATGTTGCAGCAACAAACACTTCGAGCTTCTATATTTTTTTGTCGAATTTCGAAAAATTCTTCAACATATAAGTTCTGCGCGTGCTAAAATTGGAGTTCAACACTCTATTTCATTTTTTTGTTCTCGACTTCAAGCAATAACATCTTGTTCCCGAGTTCAATAATTTCAGTGGCTAGATTGTTTGAGATCTCGGGTTCATCCTTCCATTTAAAGAATTTACAACCCCCTTCCTGCTAATTCATGCATCCGTGAAATTTCTTACCAAGATTTGATGGAGCCTTTGATGTGCGTAGTCGATCTCTCAAACCAAAATAACAAAAAAAGATTGGAAGGAGACGAGAATGAAGAAGGTGAAGACATCGATTTTATCTCTCTCGACCTCGACCTTTCTCGCGATTGAAGGAGATTGACGAATTTTGGGAATTAAGGTTTATGGATTTAGGGGCGATTTTACATATAAGAGCATCCACAATGCATTGGGTTCAATAAAAAAAAAAATATATGCCACCTATGAAATAGACCTCGTCTAAAAAAATATATATTCTCTAATGCAAGTGTAAGTAGACTGAGTTCTGCTAATGTGACAGCAAGAAAAAGAGAAGCGGTCTACCCTTAAATCTATTTTAGACCCAAGTAGAGACCTAGTCTCTTTGCATTGGAATATATTTTGTTAATTTTATATAATTTTATCCATGTCATTCAAGATTTGAGTTTATATACATGTCACATCGACAAAACTGTATCCAATGCATTGTAAATGCTCTAAGTGATAGGATGGCTAAGGTGTCAATTTTTATTCAACCTGCCAATATTGGCATTATTAAATTAACATGAAGCCGCCTCGACACTCCACGTCAAATAAAAAACAAGCCATGTCACGCCATGCCAATTTTTTATCCAAGGTGCGGATAAAAAGAGACCAAAATTGATGAAATTGACAAATTATTGAATCATGTTGTGAAACGATGACAATACGAATTAAAGACGAGAAAGTAAACAACACAAAATTTACGTGGTTCGGCAATGTGCCTACGTCCACGGCGGATGAGTGATCTTTTATTAATCACAATAATCCAAATACATCAATACACCATGTATTTATATTATAACCCTACAAGGTATAAATTTACTTAAAATACCCAGTACCGTACCGCGGGGGCGAACTAATCGACTTAGCCCAATAGGGCTGATGCCAACTCGCTCCGCTACGCTTGCAGGCATCAGCCTGTCCCTTTCATTTGTCAATATATGAGCCATACCAACAAATCCAGATTGAAAGTGATTAATGACAAGGTGTATTATTAGACCTTGGCAAATTATAGGACTAACTTCAAAATTTGGCCATTTATTTATATTAAAACATTTTAATCCATATATTTGTATTATACATTTTTCCCCATATCTCGTGTCACCAATGGTTGGATAACATTGTGTACTAATGTAATAAGATATGCATTTCTACATTAAAAAAAGTTATAATCCAAGTACATTAAACTGCTGGATCTTTTACCATTTACTACAAGTGCTAGATGAACTGTTACAAATTGCAGAAAATCAAACTCAGGGAAATCACTAGCATGGCAAGAACTCATTTCCAAATTACATGTCATTTATTCATCCCTAAGTATGTATTACTGAAATTACAAGTACAAAGTAACGAAGTAAAGAAAACATAGAAATGGGAAAATTCATGTGTGTGGTAATATGGGAGAAAAAGCACACAATGCCAAAATTATCTGCTCAAATGTTGAAGAACTTCTTTTTACATGAGCTACTTATCAATTTGGCTCGGTTATTCATAAAATTTGACGATCAACACTGACACGCGTTTTATCGGCATGAAATGCGACTTCCCTGTTTTCCAGCAGTCGCGCGAAAACTAGGCTCTCGAGGTACTGTCAAAGGTCTTGTTGATCTATGAAGTGAAATCATGCATAAAAAAAGAGAGTTGGGTTATAATATCACATAATAATTATTATCCTAATAATGGTGTGATTAATTATAATGTGAAGTCAACAATATAAAAACCTTTGTGGTAAAAAGGGCCGGTCGAAAAGTGGCATCAACTGAGCTCTAGGAACCATATCCTTTCTAATCATTCGAACCTCTTCTTCCTCTATAACCTGCCAGAATTCACGATACATAGAATAAATCACGATAAAAGTCGTAATTAAGATATGTACATTTGATTTTCAACTCATACCTTCAACACTTTCTCGACCTGTTTCTTGTGTTGCTCCATTATGTACAACTTGACGGCAATCTGTAAAAGTTTTTTTCTAGAATTAGTTTAGAAATTAATATGTACGTAAAATTGGCATTTGATGTTCAATTATTGTGTACACAATTTACCGAGGAATTGAATATTGCCCTTTGTGCTGCTCGTTGGTGAGTGTGGAGTGTGAACTCGACCGGCCTAGTGTTTTCTTTTGTCCATGACTTATGGAGAACCTATTTTAATCAAAAAATTTGGATTAATGTAAAGTTCTATATTTATAAGTGTATATATCATGAGTATTTTCTTAATGAATAATTATCCTACCCCAGAAAAAGAATTGCTGCTGAAAGAGGGCTGAAACAAAGTGTTTTTCATTGATGATCCTCTGTTTGTTGATGAAACTGCAGTCTTCACAAACTAAACCAAAAAATGCAAATACATAAATCATTAAATAGAAATGAAAAATGAATAATCATGATGAGCTTGGGGAAAAGCCTAATTGTAAGCTAAAAAGAAAGATTAATTTTATCCACAACTACTCACCTTTTGTGCAGATTTTCTGTTTGAGCTCTCCATGATTAATCACTAGCTTAACATATAATTATGTTGTTTGCTGCATGTGATTACTCAGAAAAATGAAGTATATATATAAAGCTAATATATTATTAATTAAGTGTTTGGAGATATGTTTGTTTTCATGGAGAAAAATAATCACTTGTTGTTGCTCAATCACAAAGAACCTTTTTTTGCTATCTTTTACCAAACCTTCTGATTATATCTCCCTCTCAAGCATCATATAACATATGCAGCTTATATTATTTGTTTCTTAAAATGCATTCCTTGGTTTAAATGATGAATGGTATAGTTTAAAGTAGCAATAATAACTGTGCTATCACTTTTTTTATTTAGTTCATTCTGTTTGTAGGATATTGAACAAAATTTATATGGTTCTGGTTAGTAATTTTAGTTTGAGTGACATCACTATACAATTTGGGGTAACAAAATAGAATAAAGATGTAATAGTTCCAACAATGATTGCTTAATTACTGATAACTATATTAGTGAAGCCATAATCAATTATATTTTGTCATTATAGTTATGTGTTTCTTGTTACAAATAAGAAGGTAATCCATCCATTTTGGGTTGTTATTGGCATCTTATCATCATATGCATTATGATTTGTAAAATTCAAAGAAAAAAATAATTAATTATGTGAAAGTTGATCAACTTGTGTTTGAAGCTAATTCAACTGCATGAACTTGAATTATCTTACGAAATTTTGAGATGATCTAGTAAATGATGAGTATCAACTCTTATGGATGACCATTATTAAAAGCAAAAAAGGTTATGTGTAGGAGATTTTGGAGGAACCGCATTTATGTTATTATATGAAACTTATTTATTGTAAATTGTAATACAAATAATAAAAATTTTAGAATAATAAGAAAAAGCTAAAAATAAAATTATGTGATGTTACATATTACTTGATATGAAAATACACAAGTAGATGTTTCCACTTGTATTGTTAACCTAGTTGTACACTAGGTTGGCAATGTAGCATTTCCCTAACTTTAATTCTTATGCAACACACAATTTTTTTATGGTTAAATATTTTTTCATTGGCTATGTATATTTATTTATTTAACTCATTTTTTCAACCTATGAGTTACATAGTATCTATTCGAATATTTAGATATATTATATATTTTCATAATTATCAGGTGCTATAATTTAAATTATTATACATTGTTTTTTTATTAATTTATTTTTATTTATAAAATAGTATAAAAAATATATTTTTTAAAAATTGAATAGTTTTTTGATGTACATAGATACTTCTAACGTGAAATTTATAATTTTGAATTGTACCAGAACATCAAGTTTTATTTTTATTAGTATGTTATTTAAATTTCTAATAGTATTATCACTGCATATGATATTCAATGGGGATGTACCTTTTTATAGTTAAATTGACTACTTTTTAGAAACTTTTGTTTAATATTTTAAATTATTTATTAAGTTATTATGATTTAAATATAGTTATTTTGATTATTTTATTAAATATTTTAAGTACTTCTGAATAGTGAATATAATTTATTAAATTAATACCTACAACCATAGAGGATAATATATTTAATCAAATAAATTTCCATAATAAAATTTTGAATTGTGTCAATAAATTACTATTAAATTAATATAAGATCTTATTGAAAATATATTTACTAAATTTACTGTCAAATTTAAATTTAAGCCAATTTGTAGTTAATGAGTAACAGTCACTGAGAGTATAAAGATTAATTATGTTTTTCGTGCATAAAATTTTCTAATAAATAAATATTAATAAAATGCCGAATATAGACGAAAAAATTTCCCGCCTAAATCATGCTAATAAGGATTGGTCCATTATATAGATATAGATATAGATATAGATTATGTTTATCTTTTCAAACAAAACCTTATTAAATTATCTTTTCAAATAAACCTTATTAAACAGGTATATAAGAAAGTGTTCAATAACATATAAATGTCATTTTCATGATAATTTTAATGTCATAAACATTTAATTATTAAAATATTTAAATACAAACAACCTTTTAAAAAGCACGTATGTAATAAATGCGGTGTTGGATAGGGTGTGATTGGTTATGAACTTAATCAAAAAAATCAATTAAACACTCAAATTTAATTCAACTTTAACCCAATTTCACTATTCTCAATATTATCAATATAATTAAATAATATTAACTAATTAATCTTACGCATCACATCAACTTTAATTCACTATTCATCAACTCATATCATTTTAATTAATCATCAATTCTAATCATTTTTCTCATAATTTTACATCAATTCAACTTTAAATGTTTAATTTAAATTTAAATGTTCGTTAACAACTAACCATACTATATTTTATAAAATTAACTAGAGTTATAAAAAAAAACTAATCAAATCCATATCAAATCACAATATCTATAAATATATAATAAGAATTAACATTTACCAAAAATAGTAGCAAAAAAATATGTCAGAATTTATTGCAGCCTATAAATAGTAAGTTTTATTATTTTTCTTATTTTTTCTTTAAAAATCATACCGCATTAAATGCTACCTTAAATTTCGGGCTATAGTTCATTTTATTGTTTAAAAAATCCGGCTAAGATTTATTAAGTGTGTATGTTTTTATTTTTATTTTTTTCTTAGAAACAACGAACAAAATTAAAATCTCGGTTTCTATATTGATAAAATCTCAATTCAAAATATAACAAAAGTTTTAGAATCTCGGTCTTTATATTTGTGCCTTTAAAAAAAATTGAAACTCTAAAAATATTCTTTAAATTGCATAATCAATCAACTAATCTTTATTTTTTGAAAATTACTATGTTTATTTTTTATTAATATGCATAAAGTGAAAATAATTAACTCATCTTAAGATATATAATTTATAATCTTAATATACTATCATTTGGTGTAGACATTTATTATATGAATCATAAAATATTTTTATTTCATAAAATAAAATATATTTAAAGAAAATAAGAAAATTTCTTCGGATCAATCATGTGATTAAATTAGGGTACTGCCAAAGTTGATTAAATTACTTTTAGGTGATATTTAAAATAGTCAAAAAATTTGACACAACTTGCTTGGTCCCAGGTGACTAAGTTATGAATCAGTTCAATCACACCAAATCGATTATTGAACCTAAATATAAATTTTATATTGAAAAATTTTTATTACGTGAATGTGATGTAGTCCAAATTTCAAATAATCGTATTAACAATACTTTTATGACAACATGTTTAATGATTTATGAATATTTATATATTATTTTATTAATATTTATGTGAATTAAATAATATTTTACTATAATATTTATTAGTGTACATTAAATATAAGGTTCTCAGAACTGAACCGTCATCGAAACGATCAAGCTATTTTATTAAATCATTTGTGGTTTGTTCATATTTTAATTTATAAACATTTTAATATATATATATATATATAGTACTTTTTGTAATAAATTTAAATAAAATGTGTTACTTAGTTATTTAAAAAAATTATAAATTCAAATGTTTAAACTAATTGATAAATAATTTATAAATCTCTATTTTATTTAAATATGTAATTTTATTTAAAATAATTTTAAATATAACAAAATTTATTTAAAAAATCGTATCAATCTTAGAAATCCAACCGACTGGTATTGACGGATTCAAGAGCAAATATCTTATTCAAGCAAACTAGACTGGTTATAAATCGGTTCTCTGTCCATTCGGTCGGACTGTGTCCAACCCAATTTAATGTAAAAACAATACATAAATCACGATTAATGTTATTTATATATTTAATTTATAATATAATTGTAATATTGTTTTCCGATGCGGGCCACCCATTAGTTAGTTTATTCCATTAGTTAGTTTATAAACAAAAGGAGGTTTTTCCATTGAAAATTCATCTCTGAGCCAGACCTTTCTAGACTCTTCCCTTTCCCCGTACTCGAGCACGCTCGCCTTTCTCAGAGTCCCCAATTCACCATCCATGCCCGCCATCACCACCCCTCCTAAAACCCTTCAAATTCGAACACGATAACCCCAGACAACCCAATCAATCACCAAGAATCGAAAAACCCAAATCGTATTGAAAGGAAAAAAAAAAAATGTTCGGCGTGGTCTTTCCCAACCGCAGCTTCCCGCTGGACATCTCCACCTTCGCCCAGATCGACGCCACCCACTGGCTCCTTGACATGAACCACTTCGTCGGAGAGTCGTACGAGTCCATCCGCGAGGTCTGCATATTCCTCCTCAACGGCTTCAGCCTCCCGCCGGACAAGGCCCTCGCCGTCTACATCCAGTCCCCCGGCAGCGCCTTCCTCTTCTGCGGCGCCGTCACCGTTTCCCGTCCCTCCGCCGTGCTCTCCCTCCCCTGGCCGGATCCGGGTGCCGGAGGCGTCCCCCAGCTCACGGCGGCCGACGCGCCGCCCCTCTCCGCCAAGATCGGCGTGTCGGTGGAGGACCTGGCGTCGCTGCCGTCGCTCGACGTGGCGGCGGAGAGGAGGATCGAGCGGATGGCGCTGAGGGTCGGCGAGAACCTGTTCAACTTCATGCAGTCGTTCTGCGGGGTGGACGGGTCGAAGCTGGTGGTGCCCACAGATATCTTGGACCGGTGGTTCAAGAAGTTTCAGGAGAGGGCCAAGCGTGACCCGGAGTACCTCAAAGGTTTCGCCTTGTAGAAAAATAGGAGGTATTTTGATTTGCCCCTTTTAAAGTAGTTTGTTTGATTTGAGTCATTGCTGGATTTTTAAGGTTTGAAAAACACTTGGTGGGTGCAATGGAGAAAATCTTGCTTTGTTTATGTATCTGTTTGTGATGAGTCCTTTGCCTAGATTTTCAGTTTCACTTTTGTCTCATAACCTTGGAAAAAATGATTGTGGGGATAAAATTGGTTTAGCCACATAAATTCATGCCTTTTACGTAGTTTTTGAGCATGAAGATCATGTGGGATTGACTGGTGTTGTACCCAAATTTCCACTTATAAGCAGAAGTGTTTTATTTATGGATCATTTCAGGATTTGAGTAGCTTTATGGTGTAGTAATAGTGTAAGTAATGTTGTGTAGCTTATTGATAGTGAGTGAATTTAAGCAGAATATAGCCGAAAGAAAATTAGGGTTGTGGTTATGAGCTGGCAATGTTTGTATTTCTTTTATGGCTTCATATGGTATACAAATAATACCCGATGATCCATATATGTCTTTAACGGCATATGATTCACAATTAATATACCATAATCCATACCAAGCTCCTCCAGTGTGTTCGAGCACGTGATTGCACTTTCAAACGTATTAATCGGATTTCATTCTGGTCACACACAAATAGTAAGAAATTAACAAATGCTTTCACTTAATTTCAAGCCAACTGGTAGAGATGGAGCTTTCACTTAATTATTCTTGGCTTAACCAGTCTATTAATTGAGAAATTGTGCTGTCTTGACGCTTGATCAATATTAAAGGTTTCGTTCTGTAAGTGGGTTTGGAAATCAAATGATACTTGTTCCGTCTTGGCTTGATTTTTATTGCCTCATTAACTTACTTGCATTGTTTATTTTTCTCTTTTATCATTCCTTGAGAGGTTTAACTAATCTCAATAACACTAAGAGGCTCATTAACCCTCAGATAGATATTTTCTGTAATTCAATCTGCTCGTCCTTAATTGGAATGATCGCTTATGACAAATCTCTTGGGATTATATGGACAAGTGGATTCACAGTAATAATGGAAGTGTTTGTGAAGTCCTTTAGTTGCCTTTAATGTTCTTTGTTTCATCTTACTTCAGCACTTCAGCACTTGCTGGATTGAATCTGTATTTTGTACTATATATAATAAATGAGCATTATTGTTCGTCGTGATCTCAAGCTAAACATGACAATCATATATAGAATTCATGTGGATATCTTTATCCGAGTTTGATGTGAGATTAGAGATCATGTAAGTCACTAGTTTTCCCTTTAACTTAAATGTGGATTTTGGTATTGTGGTATGGTTATTGCTTGGGAAGTTGGGAACAAGTCAAGTTAGAAATTACACTAACCAGTGTTTTCAAATAT